TGCCTCACAAAGTTGTTGTGAAGATTAAGTAGAAAAAAGGCCATATAAAGCACAATTCCTGGGATAGTAGGACTCACCATTTTCATCTTTTTAAGTATATCAAATAATTAGGAAATTATTTGAGTAAAAATGGGAGTTTCTGATGGAGTTGGATTTGGGGCATTTGAAAATCCACATTTTGCCTTTGCATTCACTGCTGCAGCTGTGCCCCCTCAAGTCAGCAGAGTTCCAGAAGGCCCAGAAGGATCACAACTCTCAATGTTTCTCTGTAAGGGCAGCAAATGTAACTAAAGTGTCATTTGAATGTTTGGCTATTGTAAGCTCAGTGGCAGGGGACATGTCTATTCAACCCTGGATCTGGCCTACAAGATGTCAGGTAACCTTTTCAAGGACATGAGGTTTTAATAGTTTTTGAAGTCAAGTTACTAGATATTATGTTTTTGCCCGGGTAAAACATACAACTAATGTATAAATCTGGGTTTTACAGGTGACATCTGCATAGAGTGTTTATTTAACTAACTGCAGACTGACTGACATGTAGGTATTCTGTAATATTTTTCTATTAGTCTGTGAATAGGCAGTCCAATGAATTATTTATTGGGCTAACACATCCTGGTGCTTTTTTTTTTTTTTTTTTTGAACACTCTCTATTGGAAGTCATGGTTTACTTACTCAATTAACCTTCTCCTGCCCAGATCTTCTCTCTTGAGGAGTAAACCACCAAAATACAAAGCAGCATTTTGGTGTACAGAGGAAGGGATCAAGCTTGCTCAAGACCTTAGTCTCCTCCAGTTGTAATCTCCCTAAAATCACATGTAGAACCTTATTTTCTAATTGATTATAGGGCATGAGATGCACAAACACCCATCCAGTATGCTTTTCTAGAAATGAGTAAAGCTGTGGCAGAGAAGTAAAGAGAGAAGACATTCCCCTCATTCTGCCAGATTCCAGCCTCATTTCTCTGAAGATAGCCACCATTTGAAGAGTACTGCGAAGGTACTTTGTAGAACGTCCCTCAGTTTGGGCTGCTGCTGGGGATGGCAGTGACAACAAGAACTGTTGAATCGGAAAGTATTTTTTCTATTGTCCCTTTACCCTCTACGCTCTCTGTAGTGCCATTTTTTCCCCCTTTTTTCTTTTCCCCATATGCTATTGTGGTAGTTTAAGTCAGGTATGATCATGGCTTGAACTAGGGTGGTTGAGGAGAAGGGAATGAACAGTAGTGATAAGACTCGGAGGAGTATTTGAGCTTATTGTTGACAGGACTTCCTGATAGATTGGTTGACGGGGTGTGAGTAAAAGAGATAAGTCAATGATAATTCCAGGGCTTTTTTTGTTTTTGTTTTTTGAGTCGGAGTCTCACTCTGTTGCCCAGGCTGGAGTGCAGTGGCGTGATCTTGGCTTATTGCCTCCTCCTCCCAGGTTAAGTGGTTCTCATGCCTCAGCCTTCCAAGTAGCTGGGATTACAGGCACACGCCACCATACCCAGCTAATTTTTGTATTTTTAGTAGAGATGGGGTTTCACCATATTGGCCAGGCTGGGCTCAAACTCCTGGCCTCACGTGATCCACCCGCCTTGGCCTCCCAAAGTGTGCTGAGATTACAGGTGTGAGCCACCGTGCCCGGCCTAGGTTTTTTTTTGTTTTTTGTTTTTGGTTTTTTTTTCCTGAGCAACTAGATGGGTGCTGGTGCTATTTACTGAGGTAGGGAACCCAGAGAGAAGAGCAAATTTGGAAAGAAGGGCTCAAGAGTTTGGTTTAGGGCCTGTTAGGTTTGAAATGCCTATTAGAGAACCAACGAGACATGTCAAATAAGCAGTTTGGATGTATAAACCTGGAATTTAGGAAAGCATAGTGAAAAGAACATGGGATTTTGTGTGGTACATTTGGAATTACAATCTTTTTCTTTCCTTCTTTCTTTTTTTTTTTCTTTTTTTGAGACAGAGTTTCACTCTGTCGCCCAGGCTGGAGTCAGTGGCGTAATCTCAGCTCACTGCAACCTCTGCCTCCCAGATTCAAGCAATTCTCCTGCCTCAGCCTGCCATGTAGCTGGGACTACAGGTGCGTGCCACCATGCCCAGCTAATTTTTTTGTATTTTTAGTAGAAATGGGGTTTTACCATATTGGCCAGGCTGGTCTCAAACTCCTGACCTCGTGATCCGCCTGCCTCGGCCTCCCAAAGTTCTGGGATTACAGTCGTGAGCCACCGTGCCTGGCCCAGAATTACAATCTTTTTATAAGACTTCGATTATGTATTTAACCTCTCTGGTTCACAATTAGCATATACATCAATTATAAATTATATTACTCATATTTCAGTTATCTATTGCTATTTAACGAACCACACCAAAGTATAGTGGCTTAAAACAAAAATAACCTATTACTTTTATCATTTATTTATTTATTTTTAAGACAGGGTCTCACTTCATTGCCCAGGCTGGAGTGCAGTGGCACAATCTTGGCTCACTGCAACCTCCATCTCCTGGGCTCAAGCCATCTTCCCACCTCAGTCTCCCGAGTAGCTGGGACTACAGGTGTATACCACCATGCCCAGCTAATTTTTGAGGTTTTCTTTTAGAGAGATGGGGTTCACCATGTTGCCCAGGCTAGTATCGAACTCCTAGCCTTAAGTAATCCCCCCACTTTGGCCTCCCAAAGTGTTGGGATTACAGGCGTGAGCCACCGTACCTGGTCTAATGATTTATTACATTAAATTTATTCTGTGCGTTGGGGTTTAGCTGGGTGGTTCTGCTGGCTTTGCTTGGGTCTCTTATTCAACAATAATCAGCTGAGAGCTTGGTTAGGGCTGGAATGTCCAAGATGGCTTCTCACTCTCCAGAGCCTCTCTCCAGGTGACCTCTCATGATTTAGTAATTTAGTCTGAGCTTTTTACATGGCAACAACTAGATCTTGAGAAGACAGATCAAATGTTCAAGCACTTATTCAGCCACTACTTGTATCATGCTTGCTATTGTCCCATAGGACAAAGCAAATCAGATGGCCAGGCCCACCAGTCAATGTGGGAGAGGGTATAATACTGGAAGGTGTATTAATTGGGGACCACCATTAATTGGGTCTACCACAGCTGACTTGATCAGGTTTTTGTGAAGATGAAGGTAACACATGTAAATTGACTGCCACATGGTGGATTCTCAATAAATATTAGCTATTAAGACGTACCTTCAAAATCATTTCCCAAGACCTATAGATAATAGTCATATTTTACTAACATATGTATAGGAGAAGAAAATGAACATGCTTTCTTATTTCTTTATTGTATTCTCCAGCAGAAGTAGAGCTATAATTCCTTTTCCTTTGCACTCAATTGTACTGCCTAATAGATGTTCTATGATTATATAAAATTTGGTGAATAAGTAATCCAATACTCCTGTTTTTGAAAAGTAAAAATTCCCTTTTAATGTTCTCATTAAAATGGCTTTGAAACCAAAGTTTAAAATCTGAACACAGATTTTTTTCCAATAATTTTCCCAAATGTAAAATTTGTATTTCCTGATTTTTAAAAATTCTAACCCAAGTCTATTACTTATTTCTAACTATAGTTCTGCTACAATTTATTTGCTATTTAATTTTCTTCTACATAAGTCACATCAAGTATGTATACCAACAAAGAATACTATTCGGGAGAGAGTTCTGTTATTATTTTTTAAGGTAAGATTGCTTAGACATTTGGTATTTTTCTCCTTGCATTGTATAAGTTCTGTAGATTCTGTTTGGATTCTGGCCCCAAATCTTAAGCCGACTTGTTCCGAGAAGTCATTTCTTTGGGGTCCTTAATCCCTATGCTGTCCATAAATATTATGATTGGCAAAATGTTATCTCTTTGTTGAGCCTCTGTTTCCCTGCCATTGTGGTTCTACCTGACCTTCTGTATCCTGTATGTGTTTCTGCCTAGGTGTGGCCTTGGGAAGGATAATTTAGATTCTTTCCTTTGACAAGAAGAGTAACTTCTTCTTCAGGATCCAAACACAAAATGCTCCATTCATTGGCAGAAGCTGGATTGTCATAACATGTCTTGTGTAACACTTCTAAATACCTTCTCTTATCACAGCAGTGCAAGGTTGCACCTGTTCCGCCACATTGCATGCAGTGTTGTCTGGGTAACAACAGTAGAAGGACACAGAACAAAATGGGAACAAATCAGCTTGGAGTGTCAGAGTTGACTTTTCCCTTTCTTTCTGAATTTTTGGTGCCATTTTCACAAAACTCATGATTTACTTTATTCCTATGAATCATATACTTTCCCTTCTTCACTTTACTTGTAGAAATACATTACAATATTATTTTCTTTTTAAAAAAATATGGAATGCTTCACAAATTTGTGTGTCATCCTTGCACAGGGACCATGTTAATCTTCTCTGTATCATTCCAGCTTTAGTATGTGTGGTGCTGAAGTGAGCACTACAATATTAGTTTTAAATTGAAAAATCATTGACTATGAAGATGTATGTTTTCCCTTTGTCTCAGAGTCACACAGTCCTCATATCCATTTATGCATTTTCCTGAAGTGGAAGGACATTGATTAATTTTTCGCCATATTGTTATGTAAAAATACATGGAATCATATCAGTCAGGATAATCTCAATTATGCTTCAGTGACAACCAGCCCTGAACTTCAGTGATGCAATAAGGTTTATTTCTTACTCATGCTACCTCCCAGTGTGGGTTCACCGAGGAGCCAAGGTCATCTAGGTCTCTTGGGCCCCAGGCTGGCAGAAGCTCCATCTCAATTCACACTGTCATCATCATACAGGCACGAAATAGGGAAATGTGCAAATTGTGCACTGGCTCCTAAAGTTTTGAGCAAGAAGTGACATGTCACTTTATTCATATTTCATTGGCCAAAGTAAGTCCCATGGCCAAGCATAATTTCAAAAGGAGAGAAGAGTCCAAACCTGTTATGTTTCCAAAGGGAGATGAACTGGAATATGTGTAAACAGCCTCAATGACCACGGTAGCTCCTTAGAAAGAATTAATCTCGGGTGTGGGACGGCCGTGGAGCCGGGCGGAGCTGACCTGCGGCTCCCGTGACCGGCTCTCCGGCCAGAGACACAGCCGGGGGAACCGGCCTGCTAGGCAGGCCTCTCCCCAATACGGTCGCCGTGCCCAGGAGAGGAAAGCGACTCAAGTTCCGGGCCCACGAAGCCTGCTCCGGCCGAGTGACCATGGCGGATTACGCCAAGTCGGATTCGGCTGTCATGAGATCTGGACGAGTCAAGAAAACCGTAACCAACGCTGTTCAGCAGGAAGTGAAATCTCTTTGTGGTTTGGAAGCCTCTCAGGTTCCTGCAGAGGAAGCTGTTTCTGGGGCTGGTGAGCCCTGTGACATCATCGACAGCAGTGATGAGATGGATGCCCAGGAGGAAAGCATCCACGAGAGAACTGTCTCCAGAGAAAAGAAAAGCAAGAGGCACAAAGAAGTGGACGGGGCTGTTGGAGAAGAGTATCCCATGGATATTTGGCTGTTGCTGGTCTCTTATATCCATCCTGAGGACATTGTGAATTTTTCCCTGATTTGTAAGAATGCCTGGACTGTCACTTGCACTGCTACTTTTTGGACCAGGTTGTACCGAAGGCACTACCCGCTGGACGCTTCCCTGTCTTTGCGTCTGCGACCAGAGTCAATGGAGAAGCTGCACTGTCTCCGGGCTTGTGTGATCCGATCTCTGTACCATATGTATGAGCCATTTGCTGCTCGAATCTCCAAGAATCCAGCCATTCCAGAAAGCACCCCCAGCGCATTAAAGAATTCCAAATGCTTACTTTTCTGATGCAGAAAGATTGTTGGGAACAGACAGGAACCAATGTGGGAATTCAACTTCAAGTTCAAAAAACAGTCCCCTAGGTTAAAGAGCAAGTGTACAGGAGGATTGCAGCCTCCGTTCAGTAACAAGATGTTCATACCAATCCAGACCAGCACTGCTGCCTACTGCAGGTCACCACCCTCAGTTTCATCTGTATTCCGATTGTCATGGGCATGATATTTACTCTGTTGACTATCAGTGTGAGCACGGACATGTGGCATCATCGAGTGAGACTGGTGTTCCAAGATTCCCCTGTCCATGGTGATCGGAAACTGCGCAGTGAGCAGGGTATGCAAGTCATCCTGGACCCAGTGCACAGCGTTCGGCTCTTTGACTGGTGGCATCCTCAGTACCCATTCTCCCTGAGAGCGTAGTTACTGCTGCTCATCCCCTGGGGCAGCCCCGAGTCTAGTCCATTAGCAATCAGATTCCAATTTGGACAAGGCGGCTGGATTGTATGTCTGGTTAGTAATGTACATGCTCTTCAGGTTCCAGGGCTCCTGTTAGGGAAGGGAGAAATGTTGAATCCAGAGGAAGAACACCTACTATGATTTATAAACGTATTTTAATGTAAAAATTTGCATTTAAAAAGAGTGGCCCTGTTTTCTGTGTTAAAGCCCCATTTGGTGCTATTGAGTTTGTTTTTTATTCTTTCATTGCAGTGAAAATTGTTGATCTTGCTCTAGGGAAAAATTAAACTCTTTGAATCTCCAAACAAGGAAATTTCAGTTCCCTTATGGATCAGAGGAAACTTAGAAGCCTGAAATTGTTGCTTCCAGTTTAGCTGCCCCTCAAATTCAAGTGAATATTTTCCCTTCTCCCTTTACCCTTCTCCAGAAATAAAGCAGGTGACAGGGTTTTCAGACTCTTAAAAAAAAAAAAAAAAAAAAGAAAGACAGAATTAATCTCACCAGAAATACAAGTAATTAAAAATATTGAAAGAAAGAAAGAAAGAAAACAATAGTGCTGCCAAGTAACAGTGCTATGGTCACTCTCTTGCATTGATTATGAAATATTTCTGAAAAGCAATTTAGAAATATGTATTCATCAAGGGCCTCAAACATCATCCATAAACTTTGGACCTTATTTACACTTTCAGAATTTACTTTCATAAGAATAAAAATTGTAAATATCTAAATGTCTAATAAAGAGGAATTGGTAAATCTACTACTGTAACACACATGATGTAATATTATATAGCCATCAAATATCATAGTTTTGAATAATTTAAAAAGATAAAATGCTCAGGATGTAACATTAGGTGAAAACTATCAGGATATAATAGTGTTTTCAATGTTAACTTATTAAAGAACCTTAGTAGTAGTTATCTCTGGCAGGTGGGATTAAGGTTTTTATTTTCCATTTTTATACCTTTCACACATTCTAAAATAAACATACACATTTTTGTTGTTGTTGTTGTTGTTGTTGTTTTGAGATGGAGTCTCACTCTGTTGCCCAGGCTGGAGTGCAGTGGCGTGATATCCGCTCACTGCAAGCTCCGCCGCCTCCCAGGTTCACACCATTCTCCTGCCTCAGCCTCCCTAGAAGCTGGGACAACAGGCGCCCGCCACCTCGCCCGGCTAATTTTTTTGTATTTTTAGTAGAGACGGGGTTTCACCGTGTTCGCCAGGATGGTCTCGACCTCCTGACCTTGTGATCCACCCGCCTTGGCCTCCCAAAGTGCTGGGATTACAGGCGTGAGCCACCGTGCCCGGCCAACATACACATTTTAAAAGAAAAATATAACAACTTAAAAAATACTCAACACTTCTGTTTTATAGCTTTATTGAAGTACTATTTACATACCTTGACATTCATCCATTTAAAATGTACAGTTAGATGAGTTTTAGCAAATTTATACAGTTATATAACCATCACCACAATTAAAATTTGGAATACTTTCAACATCCCCAAAAAGTTCCTTCATTCCCTTTTGTAGTTCATTCCTGCTCACACCCCAGCCCTTCAATCTGTTTTCTATTGCTGCATAATTTTGCTTTTGTTAGAGATTTTATATGAATGGAACTGTATGCATATTTTATATCTGTCCCCTTTCACTTAGCATGATGTTTTTGAGATGAATTCATGTTGTTACATATATCAGTAGTTCATTCCTTTTATTACTGAGTAGTGTTCTATTGTACTGAAACACAATATTTTGTTTATCCATGGACATTGGGTTGTTTCCAGACTTTGGCTATTATGAATAATGATGTTATGAATATTTGCATACAAATCTTTGTGTGGATATATATTTTTATTTCCTTTGGATAGATATCTAGTAATGGAATTGCTGAGTCATATGGGAAGTGTAAGTTAAATTTTTTAAGAAACTGCCAACCTGTTTCCAACATGGCCATACCATTTTACATTCCCACCAGCAATGTAAGAGAGTTCCTGTTTCCCTAGATTCTTGCCAATACTTGGTACTGGTAGTCTTTTTAATTTTAGCCATTTTGGTAGGTTGAAAAATATCTAGCACTTGGATATTTCCCTCATAGGCATTTAGCTGGTGGTACCATTATAAGCTCTATTCACATGGTAGCTGAAATCTGGGATCTTGAGTTTCCATGCTTGCACACCTCCAGCATCCTAATCGAAAGTAAGGGAAGTCTTCATCAACAACCAACGGTTCAACTCTTTGTTATTATAGACTTAGGCCAAGTAGATTTCTTACGGTAACACAACATATGCAATTCAACCCACATACAAACTGACCAGACTTTTGTGTTTCTTAAAAATGTGTGTGTTGGGGTATTGCAGGGCAGGGGGAATGGGGATAGGATTATGTTGTGAACTTTTCTCTTTTGCATGAAAGCTAATTAAGGAACAGGCATGCCACTGAGTGTTTCTTTTCCTTTTTATTTTTTTTCTTTAGTTTGACAAGACAAAGTGTGGGCTGGATATATAATTTGAATATATACAATTATTTCTTGATAACTATAAGGACAAGAAGCAAGTGCTGCCTGACTCATGGAATCCTTTGGTATGGGATGTGCCTGGAGAAATGGTGTACTCATGTGTAAGAAAGTTAAAGAGAAAAATCCCAAGAGAAGCTCTGTACCATAAGGTTTCTCTTCAGTGTGTGGGGGAGTCGGACAGTGTCATTAAGGACACTATACTGGAATAAAAATTGTCTGGGTTCCAATTTAAATCTTTCGTTTATCAGCTGTGTGACCTCAGATGATTCATTTAATATCTCTGGCTTCCTCATCTGTAAAATGGGTGTAATAATATCTGACCTACCTACTGCATGGCAATCTTGGATCCAAACAGCACTATAGAACCATTTTTATAGAGCGCTTTGCCTTATTTGTACACAGTCCATTTGTACTTTTTATTTCATCTTTTATCTTATGCAATCACCAAATAACCCAGTGAGGTAGCAAAGCATAGTTATTATCTCCATGGTACAGATGACTAAACTGTGGCTCAGAGGCTTTGGAATCACAAAAGAAAGACTTCTAGTTCCCTGGTCAACAGAGTATTATTTTGCGCTATAGTTCTTATAGGTTATGTTACATGCTGTGCTATGATTTTTAATGTTGTAAATAGAATTGGGCCACACATTTGTTTACGTATTGTCTACACCTGCTTTTGTGTGACAAGGGTAGAGCTGAGTCATAGCAACAGAAACCACATGGCGTGCGATGCCCAAAATATGTACTCACTGGCTCTTTAAGAAAATGTTTGCTAGCCTCTGCTTTAAGTGCTTTTTACTATGTGTATTAACTCATTCAATCCTCCTAACAATCGTACGAGGCTGGTTATATTAGGCATTAAGGGAAACTGAGGCATAGAAAGGTAGAGTAACTAGATCAATTAAAACAGTGAGTAAATGGAGGAGCTGAGTTTGAACACAGGTAGTCTGGATCCAAACCCAATGCCCTTAATCCCTTTCATTACTGGCTTCTGTGATTCCTATTGGGCTGCATCTCATTTGGTCGACATTCACTGAACAGCTGTTAGTGGTTGCTAACACCATTCTAGGGATTGGGGCTAGTATAGAACACACTCTTATGGAGCTAACATTCCAGTGGAGGAGATAAAGCTATTGTCAAGTAATCAAATAAATGAGCAAGATTGTTTCAGAGAATGAAGTCTGTGGGGGAAAAGAATAGGTTAGAGTGATCAGAGACAGAGAACTAGATGGATAAAGGGGGCAGGAGAGAAGTTGCTAGAAACCGCTGTGTACATTGAACATATTTTGACTCTGATCCTCCCAAGGGAAGACCCTTATTAATCTTACTGCTCCTTCTTCTTTGTCTCCCCAGCCCCTGGCACAGAGTGAGCACTCAAAAACCACATGAGTACATATGACTGACCTTTCCATCACCTGCCTTCCCACTGACCTCTTCCTGCCCCTTCATCCACCTTTGTGTTTGAATATTCGTTCCCATGACTTGTTCTTCCACACCAGATTATGAGCCTCTAATAGTCATGATCTCTGACTCTAAGTCTCACAAACCTAGTCCAGAGTCCTGAACAGAGAGGGACCTCAAGAATAATTTCTAAATAACATTTTAGAGTCAGCTCTTGGCCTGAATCTTTCAAAAATAGCCATGTACAGGTTGAAATTTTAGTTAAAACTGCATGTGGCCCATAGTTTTATCTCCTTTATCTGAGGTAATAGGGAAGGAACCACAGTTATTTGCAATAACAGATCCTACACCAGTTCTCTGTGCTTCTCTGTGAGTGACAAATCGTACTTCCACACTGCTGCTCTGTGTATCTAGCCCTGACCCCTGGTGAATCCAGCCTACCTGTGGATTTTGGGCTCCAATCTTAGTATATAAAAAGTGGGGAGAAGGGAATGACCCAAGTCCCCATAGGTAATACACAAATAGGATGATGCAGTAGTGGCTGATGAAGGGAGCTACAGATTGATAATGTAAACTTACATGAAGCACAGCTTTCCAGGATTAGGTAAAAATTTCATCTGTGTGCCAAACTAGCCCTTTATACGTATAAGCAAACCCAGAGTCTTCATGAGATGTAGGACAGAAAAATGATCAAATGCCTGACAAGAAACTAACATGGACATTTCTAGCTCTGGCTTCTGCTTTGACCTTGTATGACCTTTGCAACTGTCCTAGGCAGGCAGACTTCATGACACCTGTCCCCTGCAGCAACTGTCAAGTCAGCCCCACCTGGTTTCACTAAGCTGGAAGCCAGATCTGTCCATCACCGCCAGCTGTTACCCACATTTGCTTTTATGGCTTTCCTTTGCTTCCATGTCTTGTGTGGTCTCCTCTTGCTTACCCTCTTTTCCCCTCTCTTTACTTCTATGACTACTAATTTTCATGCTTTTTCATTCTAACTTTATTACATCTGCAAAGTCCTTATTTCCAAATAAGATCAGGGTTTAGGTCTGGACATAAATTTTGGGGGAGAGACACTGAACCTACTGCAATACGCTTCAGTTTTATTTAGCAATGCAAGGTGGCATCCAGTCAACATCATGTTGACATATGGGCTGCCCTTTAAAAACCCACCTTCAGACAAAGAAGGAAATGAATTCTGTGAGATGGTAGGAGCCTAAAAGGTGAACATACTGTGGTGAAAATTGGTCTTATGATGCCTTCCGGACAATTGCAGATAAATAGAATTGGCTTGTTCCATATTTCCTCTTCTGCACATTTTGGAATATAAGATAGAACCCTACCTTGCCAGAATTTGGGATGTTTCCTCTAGCAATTTGCCCATTGCCATCTTTTACTTATTGAGCACCTACAACATGGTAGACCCTATGTAGGTACTTTCTTCCCTAAAAAGTGAGGTAGAGTCTCTTATCCCTAATTTGAGGCTCAAAAGATTAAGTAATAACCTAACTATGAAAGCACAGTTGGCAAGTGGCATGGCTGAGAACT